AAGATAGAAATAAGATAGATAACCTAGTATCACATCACCAATAAGATCTTTGCTCTCAAGAGTGATTTCTTCATCTCATGGACCAATCTGCTGGATGAGATGTTCCTAGGAGCCTTCTTGGAGAAGCAATGGGCACACTGACTCCTCAGAGAAAGAAAAGGGAGACACATCCAAAATTTGTCTTTCCAGATCTGATCAGCTGCCTAGCAGTTTTTTATATCTGGCTGTATTAACATCATAGCAACACAGAGACAGCTCAGAAACAAAATTTCTCATTACAGTTGACTTCAAAGCTTTTTCAGTGAAATTACGGTTTTTGTGAAGTGCAAGTTGGTGTGGCATGCTGAATGAAGACACTTGCAGTGCACCAGCCTTGCTGACCATAGCCTGGCCCTGCCTGCTTGCAGAAAGAGAGGAGGCTGCCCTGCTGTGCCTTGGGGGGCCCCTGGTGCTCAGCTGTCCTTCCTCCCAGTGTCATCTGCACCAGCCAAGCATGCAGTGCCACAGCCCCAAGTGCAGGTGAGGGGAAAGCATTTTGTGCTGTACAAGTGGTTTACATGGAACTGCCCTCTGGGTGGGCTGGGTTGCCATCAACCCCATCCTCCTGGGAGCACAGCCTGGCCTCTCAGTCACATTCCAGCTCAGTCTGCCACCAGAGCCTTCCAGCCAGCCAAAGGGAGCCCAGGAAAAGCTGAAGCAGCTCTTTAAACACTAAAGAGATGTTGCCTAATATGAAGGGGGGTGGGGATAGGCACTGCTAAATCCATCTCCCTGCCCACCCCTCAAGCAGCCAGGTGTAAGGGAAACCAATCCATCCCTGCTATGCTAGGCACAAAAAGTGTCTAGGAGGAAGAAAGAACAGGTTTACATGCAGTATTTTTAGTTTTACATCAAAACATGCCTTAATTAGTTTATTTAAAAAGTGATTGCTCGACAAAAACTCTGTTTTTTCTACAAAATTTCACTTTGACATCGATGGGGAATTGCATGCTTGCTTACCTGCATTTGCATATTGCCCCTCCCAGCCCCAGCACAGCACACAATTCTCTTAAAGCTTGATAATTAGGCATTTCAGCAACCAACCCTTACACCAAAACACACGAGCCCACCCATGCTTGTTGTTATTGCCATAGGAATCTTCATTTTTTTTTAAAACATAAAATATTGAGCAACAGGCCATATTCAGGTTTATAATGGATGAAAAAACTCAAAATAGCAGGAGCACAGCCTAGCCAGTTAACCAAAAGTGTGTTTGCTTCCAGGACTGTGCTTAAGGAGAGACAAGCTCCAGAACAGGAGAACATTATAATTAAGAGAATGAAAGAACTTTCACTTGTAGTCAGTCATTTCATAGCTAGCAATATATAGCATGCAACTATTGCCATATGTAAAATACTGCATTAAACGTTTATTTATTTCTCTGTATATTGTGTGAAGAACCGCTCTGAGTGCCTTGAAAGAGTGCACAAGAAAACACAGTTAACAATCTCATTTTTTAGAACTGAGTAAAAACTGGGAAAATACAGTCCCCATGAATTACTGCATCACTATCAGCCAGAAAAGCCAGGGGCAAAACCAGATGGAATTTGCTTAATTAGGTCCAGATCCAGTGAAGTATATACATATCTCTAAGCCAGCAAGAGAGCCTATGGACAGCAAACAAGTTAAAATAACCATGTTGAAAGCGAGCAGAAAGCTAAATATGGCATGGATTTCAGTTTTTACAAATGATTTCTCATAGGTTTAGGATTATCTGCAAGATCAAGCATTTTGCACAATCAGTGCTTTGCCTCTTGTCAGAGAGTTGCCTAGTTGAAAGTTTTAGAAACTGTCTTGAAGCTGATTAACACCCCATTTAATTCCTCCTCATTTCTCTCTCACTTTTATAGAAAAAAGTTTCCCTGTAAAGGAATAAAACAGCTATTGGCACTGCAGACTTTAGGAAACCGCATGTATGAAATTTTAGATTTAGGGACATTTAAAAATCTGACTAAATTATGTTTCAAAGCATTCACATGATGATTCAAAAACAATGGACAAGGAAAAAACTGCTTGCCACTAGGTTAAGCAGGAACAATGCTATCAAGTTGTGGATGACACTTGGGGTTTACAGATATTCCCTATCCGCACAGCAAGACATTCCTTTCTCCATCTTTTCTTGAGATAAGACACCCATCTGTCAGATCATTACAGCAATGAAACTGATCTCTGCCAGTGCCTATTATTTGACATATTGTACATACAACACAATTCTTGGCCAGAGGGAATTCCCCAAATGTGGTAAGCCAGGATCCAGCTCAGCTAAGGGCCAAAGTGCCCTGAGCTGTGAGGAAACCAAAATGAAGCTCCAGAAATGAGTCATGCACGGGGGCAGGGCCACTCAAGAGGCAAAGGGTACAGCAGCTGACTCAGACAGGTGACACAAATTATACCTGACCTGCCAGAAAAAATTCATTGACTTCCAACTTCCAGTCCAATCTAAAGACCACAATTTTGCCTAAGCAAAATGCTTCATCTTACTTGTTCAATAATGGGATGTAAAAACTAATTATAGAATAAAAGATTGATACAAGATGAGCAGTATAAATAAAGAGCTAAGTAATATCATATATCTGCCATAGCTTAAGCCAAATTTAAAAGGTTAATGTTTTCAGCTATCTCTAAACCTTGGGTACCTCCTGTGTCCAGAAATAAAAATGTTATTTTGTTCCTAGAAGCCAAAAGTTTGAGGCCATAATAATATATTTAGATAACTTATGTTAGCAAGTGAGACTGAGGGGACACAGCCATGCTGAATTTTGACCCTTTTGAAGTTTGCAACTGTTTTGCTCTATAGAGTACTTTAATATTCATTGAACTATTTTCTGGCTTTGTGGCCTGAGGAACAAAAGGCTCCTATCTGATAAAGGCTGAACATCCCTGATCCAAATAATAAATCACAATAAAATTATGGTTGTGCAAAGGAAAACTTTGATTTTTTTCTCTCCAGGTATTTGCTTAGTTATTTCAATTATCTTGAAAAGGTGAACATGTCTTTAAAGAAAATGTGAACAAACTAAGACAGCCTTATGCTGCAGTAGCTATGACAACAGACTTTGAAATAAGTGTGGAAAAAGCTAGACCTGAATCTTAATTTCATTTAATTATTTTTTCAGTCTACTCTTCACACTAAGTACTTTGCATTTTACTCTGAAATTGTACAGAAACTGGGATCTCTTACTAACACCAGATGCACAGTATCTTCCATAGCCAATTTTACAGATCTTATTTAGGTTAGAAATGAGATTACTCAGAGAATGAGTAGACAACTCCTAATGACTTCAGATGAAGCCAGACAGCTTTCTGGGGAATGCTGTTCCCAAAGTTGCTGTGTTCAGTGCAGACTGGCATGTGAGAGATCTGACTATGTGAAGGAGTAATCCCATTGGATCAACCATTAGCAAACTGTATCAAATCTTCTATTAGAGGTGAGATTTTCAAAATAAAGACATAGTAGAGAAGGTAAAGTTAAAAGTCAGATTTTCAGTGGATTCACTAGCTGGGCTGAAGTGAGAAAGATGATACTTCAGTTCTAACACCTCTTCCTTTATTCTTTCAGTCCTTCCCATCATCCTTGGACAGTCTTTTATTGATGAAATCCACAATCATGCACACTACCACCTCCACTAGACAGATTTGGATCCCTGCTCCTGACTCCTTTCCCATTCCTCTGAATTCTTTCTAGCAGAAGGAGCAGGAAGCTAATTCTTCCCCTCCCTCCATCAAGCACAGTAGTTTAGCAATCAAGAACACTTAAAAAAAAAAAGGAGAAAAACTCAGACCATTACCACTAACATCTCTTTCTACCCTCTAAATGTTCCATTGCCCTCTCTATTTTATTTGAACAAGCCCAGGGCTGCACAGGGAAGCCAAATCACTGTACAGCTGTGACTACACAGAAGAGGAGTCACTTGAACCTCTTGTGAAGGGAGCCACGTGTGCTCCCAAAGCCAGTTATGGAACTGCAGCCACCTACAAGCTGCCCAGGCCAGGGACATTACCAGCACCTTCCCCCACTGACCCCACTTCTCCAGGGCCAGCAACCCCAAATTCACTTTTGTGGATCACGGGGCACCACTGCAGAGGTCTGCCTGTGTCATGCCAGCATCAAATACAGAAACAGATGGGCATCATGCTACTAATTACTTATTAATTCCCTTAAGAACTAATTGTGAGTAATCAATCTTTATGATTCTCCCAGAAAGACAAAAATGCATAAAAAGTGAATTAAATATCAGCCATTCTTTTTCATCTTCATTCTTAAAGAAGAATACAACTCTTTTGATAACCCCAAATTTTTTTCACTTAACTCTTTCAGCTTTTTCAGTATGGTGCCTTCTGCTGCAACAAATGAAATAAGACTGGTGGAACAAGGACTGGAAGAAAGCAGCCTTAGCCTCCATTATCCTTTTTACCAGTTTTTGAGACTTTGAGATTGGAACAGGGACCATCTCATGTGTGAGCAACTACAGATATATACACAAGAGGAGATACAGGCCTTGATCATCAGACCCCTCTCCCTGCTGAGGAGTATGAGCTGCCCCACAGACAAACATATTGCACATTCCCTGATTTATCCTCTTTTCAAGCTGCAGCACTCTCCCACTCTCTTGTAGATGTGCCCCACATTTCCAGTACCTGGGGTGTAAATGAGTCCTCCGTCTATGGCTTGCAGAGTCATGAACACTTAGGAGGTACTTACAGAATTCACCTGCAGCTCCCAAGCAGCTGAAGACCGTCATCACAGGTGAGAAATGAAGCCCACTCCTCAGCTGAATTTTTAGAAATTTAAGAACGGACAACAGGGGACAAAATCAATAAAGCAGAATTCACAGCGCTGGGTGCGTATCTGTAGCCAGAGCTACCCCAGCTAACAACAGCAACCCTTCTTTCTATTGCACCAGTCAAGAGCACATTCACAAACCATTATACATATTCAAACTTTTTTAAAACTCTTTTACCTGTTTTAGGAACTTCTTAGCCCAGCCCCTGCTCTGATCTGCCTTTTTAGAGCCTGTGCAGCAATCTTGGTTGTGGTTTTGAGGGCCTTGTGTCACCTCCTCAGAAGAGCCCCTGTTCCATGGTTTCAGCAGGTGACAGTCCAAGTGTCAGTAGCAGGGGTCCTTGTCACATTCCTCAGATGTTCCCTGACCATGCAGACAGTTTAGTTACTTCAGTTATTGCAAGTTAACCTCAAGTACTCTAAATCAACATCACCTATTTCAAATGGAAGTATAGGCATACTTCATATGTCTGATATATTTTAGTTATTGCCAGTTAGCTACAAAAATAAAAGCATTTGTTATTTCACAACTATAGCTACTTCTGCAAAAGTTAACATTATATTGCAATGCACAACACATAGCATTCACTTTAATATTCGCAAAAGCCAAAGCTATAATATGTGTTTATCACATCACAACAAGTCCTTAGTCAGGAGCAGAGACCCAGGTTTTATTGACTGCAACAAATAAAAAAGATATTTGTGTAACCCCCAAGGACAAAGAGCTGTACAAGCACTAACCAAGCACAACCCCAGCTTCCAAAGACACTATTTGCATTTCCTCTAGGACTGGAGGTAGTTAAAAAGGGCCTACAGCTGCAACCTTTTATTCTAATTACCCACCTTGGGAGGGGAGAAGCAGCATTAACTCTTCAGTGGCTGTCTCAGGGAGTGTAGGCAAGGGTGTGGTGCTCAGAGCATTCCTTGTTTGTGAGAACTTTTTACCATTACATTTGGAAATGCTCCCAGAGTATTATTCAATCTGCACTCTCCTTGCAGCAATAATCTTCCTCTACCACCCTCAACAGAATCAAGGTCAAAGAGTCCTGCCATACATTTTGGCCTTTATGTATTCAAAAAACCACTTCTTAACAACAGCTTTGTTTCTGCATCCACTACACTCAATGCGGAAAGAGTTCATTTGTTTTCTGATGGTGAGCTTTGCGAAGTGCATACACAGCTACTTTTAAATCCCCCCTCTTTAAATCAGATATAATTTTTTTAAGTCTTTTTCCACTGACTCCAGTGGGCACTGCGTGCTAGGGAAGTAAAACAGAGCCATGTTTTGTACTAGAGTTGATATGGTCTTTCCATTTTTCCTCTCTCCAGAATGCAACAGCATTGAGGACCTTGTTTCAGTCTCTCATGTAGCAAATTTGAAAGTTATTCTGCTTTTTCTAATCATGGAATAAGTCATGGGCACTTGAAGTTCAATAAATCCCCTGAGGCAGCCAGCTTGGTTTATTTTCAGCTCCGATGACCCACAGAAGGAAAATTTTTTTTGCAACATAGGAATTGGTTTTTTTTCCCCTTATTATATATAAACAATTCTCTTAACATTAGAGGGAAAAGGTTCATATTAAAAGGCAATGCTTATTAAAATATCAGCTTCTGCCTGCTGCAGGAGGATTATTAGCATCACTGACTTCCTTCTCTGTTCCAACAATCTTTTGCCAAATTTCTCAGGGAAGGACTTGTGTGGTTGCTGCTCCTTGACAGGGAGTGTCTGGGAAGTTTGTCCTTTATGTAAACACAGTGCTGCAGAGAGGGAAAAAAAGAGGTGCTGAGTTTCCCGATGAGGTGGGTCACAGCAGAGCCCCCTTTTCTACACTGGGTCACTGAGGTCTTCAGTAGAACATGAGATTAATTATTTCCTTCCTAAGAATCATATTGGTACAGCCTGGAGAAATATCTTCTCAGAAAGAAAGGCATATTAACTGCTGCATTTCATACACTGAGCTACTGTGTACAAACAGACAGGGGCACAGCACTGTTAAAGGGGAAAAGTGAGGATGATGTGATGCTCATATACAGTGACATCTAGCAATGAACTGACCCAGAAATGACACACTCAAATGGTGAAGAATGAGTATAAATTGGCAAGTATTATGTCGTAAATGTCATAAATGGCTCCATATAATATATCGCTGGAAAAGGTATTTAGTTTATTTAAGTCTTAATGTACTACTTTTTTTCTTTACTTATTTCTTAAATTCATAAAACCCAAAACAAATCTGGATTTTCAGTGCAGAGATTTAGAATTCAGGCTACAGAAACTAATTTATCACTTGAGATGTAAAAATAGTACTGTCTAAAAAGGGAGACTTTCTTATTTAAGAAGGAGAATCTGAAAAAGAGTACCTAATTAAAGTGTTTTCTTTGGGTTTTTTTGAGAGAAAAATGTATGAGAGATGACATGTATTTAAATCTTTAAAAACCTAATCTCTTCCATGGGTTTCATTTGATTTCTGTAGTATGAAAACATATCCTCCTCTTCTTTCTCCCAGTTTGTTCTAGGGCAGACACTTAAATAAAAATGCCTTTTTATAAAACTATCTCTCTATTTGCTCAACCTATTTTTTAAACTGTGTTTCTTTACAATGTTTGATGAAAAACTACTGAAACTGTTTCCCTGAAAGAAAATTGTTCAGTTAAAGTTCTGGTTTTGGTTGCTGAATATCAGCAGCACTTCTGTGCACTCTGGCCATTAAGGATGGCTGCCATATTTTCTTTCTGCTTTTACCCATTATCGTTCTAGTTGTCATGCAAGTGTGACTTTAATCCTCCTGGTCTGACAGAAACAAAGACAATTAAAGATCTGGTGACCATCTAAGAGTAATTTAAGGATATAAAGGTGCTTTGAACAATCACAGACTTCCTTTCCAGGAATGTCTGCTCTCCTTGGACACTCCCTTGCATGATGAGTTTGTGAATACAAACAGATCCACATTCCTTCCACCAGTCATCAGATGACTGCCATTTTCTGGGGATTTTAGTTTGGGGGAAATTTAGTTTTGTTTTGTTTGCCTTTTTTTAATAGAATCCCTTGACTACTACTAACATGTAATTTTGTTTTCCTGTTCTTTGGTCATTTAGGAGGAGTGTCAAAGCCCCTTCTGTATAGAATACAGTTTACAGGGATATCCTTTTCTTTCCCTGACTGTTTACAAAACATATAGCATGAAGCTTTTTCAGTCTGATACTTTAAATTGTGTGAACTGTGGAAAAATATTGAGGCTATGAAGGAAATTCTGATTTATACTGCTACAACTTAGGCTTCAGACCCACTTGTGCTCTTCTGTGAAGAGCAGAAAGCACCAAACATGGGATGGTCAAAGCTTTCTCATCTCAGAAATGTTTTGTTTTCTAAAAACCAACACAATAACCATTCTAAATGGCCATAGGGACCTGCACCAGCTCTGCCTTGCACTTTTCAGAGTGCAAGCCTCAGGTGATTTACAGCCAGCAAAGAAGCTACATACACAAGGAAGGGAAAGAAGGGTATCTTTGAGAACACCCAGCTGCTTTGTGCTCCTTTCCACTTCACTGTATATCCAAGGAGTGCTAAACACAGCAGCAACATTTAAAGTCTTGGCAAGCAAACCTGCTAAGTCTTGCTAAGAGCAGTTGGGCCATTAGTGGCCGTTCAGTCAGAAAGAGCACGACTGCCTCAGAGCTATTAGGGAGAGGGGAGAGGCTGGTAGTGAGAAAATGTTGTACTGGAGGATCGCACTGAGCACTTGCTTGGCTCAGCTGTGTGAGAACAGCAGCCCTCGCTGCAGGGCTGATGGACAGGGGGAAGCCAAAAGGGAAATCAGCACTTCATAAAAGTTAATGACTTCTTGAGTCCTACCATAGCAGGATTCAAGTGGAAAGCACGGGACTCTTTCCTTTTCCATTGCTCCCTCTTGTTTTGGACCAATATCGCTCTCTCTTTTTGTCATTATTACTGTTAGTTTTTAATATATGCTTTTGTGAGAAACCCTGAATAAAGACACCCTCCATTGTTTTCTTCCATGTCCCTATCAGATCTGACTCAGCTGGGCCATCCCTTTTCTTTTCTGCTTTCCCAAAGGTAATATCTCAAGTGAGATTAAAGATCCTCTTCCAGATAGCCCATTTTTGCTAGGTTTGTTCATGCATGAAGGCAAACATTGGCAGACCTTAAATCATCACAGAGAGGGGCACTGGTGTTCTCAGTTCTAGGCATGAAGTATGTATAGGTACCTATGCTGGCCAAGACTAACTGTGACAATAAATAACAGTCTAACAATAACAAATGTAAATAAAACATCTGAATTTCTTTCCAAAAATAACCTTCTCCTAACCATTTAATTTTCTTGCCTTTTCACCCCCATATTTACCCCTCTATTTTACCTAGCATATTTTAATGCTTGTCTAATCTGTAGCCAGCTCTGCAATTATTTTTCATAGTGTAAGCATTTTTTTGTAAAATTCGTACTAGTGGGCAAGGCATGGGAGAAGAGTTACAGTGTTTGTTATCCAATACTGGGTCAAACACAGGGATTGTGCATTAGGGAGGAGGTCTAATGCTGATGAAAGCCTGCCCTGCCAGAAGTGCCCACACCAGCTCCAGCACAGTGGTTGTCTACACAACACAGCCCTGAAGTCATTAAGTTTTCTTGCTGGTTTGAAAAATTGGAGTTTTATTCCAAACCCTATCATTCACTCTGTGACCACAGGTTTAATATTTCCTCTTTGTTTTCTCTTTTCCCATTTGTAAATTACTTATAAAGATTCTACTCAATTTTAAGGCATTTTGAGCCATATGGGACGGGGTGGGGGGATTCATAGTCATTCATGATCAATTTTGATGACAGTGGTGAGTGGCATAAAGCAGAAAGAAACCCAAGGAAAGGCACTTCTAAGTTTGGTGCCATAAAGAAAGCTCTGGGATACATGAGCAAGAGCCAAATCTAAAACCAAAATAATTCCAATAGAGCCTGTAAGATATAGAATAAATATGAATACACTTTCAGTATTCTGCCTTATCAAAACTGCATTTATGATGGAATAAAAAATTATTGCATTGCTAAAGGAACAGTCATAACTGTGAAGAAAAATGTTGAATTATTATGGCAGACTACACAGCAACAGAGCATTTATGGCTCCACTCAGGGCAGATTGCTCAGTCAGGATTTTTCTTACATATATTACCATATAAACCTCCTGTGCCACTTGCAGTTTTGCAGAGTTCAGGTGATGAAAGAGTAAGAGGGGGATAACTTTACTTATTGCTGTGGAAATCTGTTTATCATCCATGTCTAGAATTACTATCTTTTTACTTGAGTTGGAAAAGTGTTCATTAACTCTCTCACATCTTCCCTTCACCCCAAAGTTTCC